CGGCCCATCCGTCTTGACACCTCTATATAAATCTGAGTAATGCTATTTAATATTATTAATATTTAATACTAATCTAGGTGGCGATGATAGTGACATTAGCTTATATGTTCAATTAAATACAAGAAATTTAATTTATTTAACAGGACATATTTATGGAGACTCCTAGGCTGGTATTCAATATCATCTATGCTAGATATCATTATTCTTTAAATATAGGTGAAAGTGGAACCTACTAATTCATTATGACAACATAATAAATCTATTGAGTTGACTATAACCTATATTAATGTTAAGGACCAATACTATTATGTAATCAATCCGTCCCAATTATATAGATCGAGTTTCATTTTTCTCTTGTCCCAAATATATATATATGTTTCCTAATGTAGAATATTTTATTGTGTTCTTTTACTAATATACCCTTATTCAATTTCCTCTACTTAATATGCCAACTTCTTGAAATCATCCAAATACACACATTTCTCACTTCTGGGCAACATGGAACTACTCTCATCAAATTACATCATTCAAATTCTTTATTAATTCCAACAATAATTTAGTTTTACATACTGAAAATTAAATAGGAGTAAATTAGGAAAGATCTTTAAAAATATTAATTTTTCAATGACATTCAAGAAGTTTTCTTAATCCGTGTGAAAAACGAAACAATCCTATATAATTGAGACGGAAGGAGTAATACATATTCACATAGAGATAAGATCATAATAAATTAGTGGGGTCCACTATCACCTATTTTTGCGCTAAGCATCAGTAATGCTACATAAAATTATTCATGTAGAGTAATTAAATTTAAGTATTTTGTGCGAATTAGAAAACATTATAAAAAGTAAGCTTATATTTAGTGTAATTAAAAATTATCTTTTTAGCATTTTTTTAATAAAAATCGACCAAATATGCTAATGAAAAGTTAATAAAATTATGAATCTCATAAAATTTATAGTTAAACTTAATAATTTAACTTAAATTTTCTTCTTTTTAAGTTACACATCTAATATTAAAAAAAAAAAAAAAGGAAAATAGTCCTTTACTGCGGATAATATTGCTTAAAAATTCCGAAATTCGAGCCAGAAAGAACAGTGACCCTATAAATAACTGTTCCATTGGGATGATCGCCACATGCTCGTCCATATTCTCCCGTCGTTGAAACCGAAAAAGAAAAACTCTCTTTGCCATGGATCCTTACAAGGTTCCGATCTATTTCTGCCCCAATACTATATTGTATCGTGTTTATACTGATTAATTTCGTCCGGTTTTGCATGATTGTATACTACACCCTTGATTTTAGCCTTGAGGCTTGTTCTATGGTACGAATTACTAGTTTAAAATAATTGATCTTACTTTTTGACGATGCAGAATCGTCCATCAAGTGCTTATAATTCACCTTTCTGGACAACCAATTCTGGAGCTCCGGTTTGGAACAATAACTCGTCGTTGACAGTCGGAATTAGAGGTTTTTTTTTTCTTTTCTTTTCGGATTAATTATGGAATTGTTGATAGATTGTTTGTTTAGCAGTATTATTTAATGTCCTTAAGGATGTTCAAGGGGAATGCAATTTTATTGTTTGATTGGGAAAGTTTACCAATTATGTGATGTTGTTAAATGTTTTTGAATGATATCGCCATTAATCAATGAAAAGATAATAAATTTGTTTCCAACAGAATCTGATATTAATTTTGTGAAATACTTAAAAGCCCATGCTTTTTAATCTGTTGGAACGTAAATATTGTATGTTCACCTATTTTCAGGTAAATTCAATAAATTACTTTTGGTAGTGAACTATTTTGGTTTCGCTTTTTGCAAATTTATCCCAAATTCTTCAGTCATTATTTAGCCCCTATTCGGTGTAGATTAAAATCAGATTTTAGTTTATTTTATAGAAGTTAGGGTCGTTAAAATTAATTGTTGACTTTGACTTGAAATTTTAATTTGATTTTAATTCAAAACAAGGGCTTAATTCAAGTGAATCGTGTAGGAGGAGGAAATAAAGTTCTTACTTTTACTTTTCACCTCTTTTCCTGGGTTTCCTCGTAGCTTTTTGTATATGCTTTTTAATATTAGAGTTCATAACTTCGACTTAGACACATGAAATATTTTTTTGTTAATCTTTTACCTACATTCAGTGTGATATTGCAAATTTCCTGAGATTATATCTACTGCCATGTGCTGAAGACACGGCTATTGCGCTTGAGTCCCACCAGTAGGGTTGCCTTTTTTCAATTACACATTAGTCCTGTTCTGGTGATTTGAGCTTTGTTATTGGTGATCTCATGTTTAATACATCTGTGAATCACAATGTTGTAATAATGTGATTAATTGTAAGTTATAATGTATTTAATAATTATGGTAATTATGTAATTTATTGAAGATTGCAACTACTATGACAACTAAAGGATTTCTTCCATTTCCAGTCCTCTTATCAGTTTTGCTGGAGATCGCATTTTTTCTCTTGCATCCGATAGAAAATTCCTCCTTAAGAACACTGCTTGATTACTTTACCGTTTGCAATATACTTGCCATCTTTGTTTACTCGAGGTAATGTGGTTTGATACATTTGAGTCAATGAATACAAAGTTCTGTTCCACCTGGCAGGCCCAATTCTCCTTGAAGATTACCATTTGGTGGAGAAACTTGCTAATTTTGATCGTGAGAGGATCCCAGAACGTGTTGTCCATGCTAGAGGTGCCAGTGCCAAGGGTTTTTTTGAGGTCACTCATGATATTTCTCAACTTACCTGTGCTGATTTCCTTCGAGCTCCTGGAGTTCAGACACCTGTTATTGTTCGATTCTCCACTGTCATCCATGAGCGTGGAAGCCCTGAAACTCTTAGGGACCCCAGAGGCTTCGCAGTTAAATTTTACACCAGAGAGGTAACCGCTATTTTCTATTGGTTTTTCAACTGTATTACTTCAAAGAAGATAATAAATTTCAATTGCTTATTCAACCGAAACATTTTTAAGCATCCGTTCTTTTAAGATAAATAGTGAATGTGATTGTTACTAATCTTGGCAACTGTCCCTTTGCTCTTTGAAACTAGATTGGGAATTTTTATTCTGTTAAGTTTATTTACTGGGGAGCTTTCCCATGAATTTCAGGTTTAAACATTCTGATGTCCTGGAAATCACAAGGGAGCTGCATTCTGATTGAAAATTTTGACATAGCACGAACTTTGTTTAACATTTTAGTTAAAAATATTTATTGTTCACTTTTTGTGAAATATGTCTATTTAGTTTTCCAGTTAAGTTCCCTTTATTTTTAACCTTTCCTTATTTAAAGGACATTGAATTGCCACTATATGATTGTTGTTTAATAATGGCCTTATAAATTGATTGACATTGAAAACTTTGTGTCACTGATGCAGGGAAATTTTGATTTGGTGGGAAACAACTTTCCAGTCTTTTTCGTTCGAGATGGAATGAAATTCCCAGATATGGTTCATGCCTTGAAACCTAATCCAAAGTCCCACATTCAAGAGAACTGGAGAATCCTTGACTTCTTTTCCCACCATCCAGAGAGTCTGCACATGTTCACATTCCTGTTTGACGATTTGGGTGTTCCACAAGATTACAGGCACATGGAAGGCTCTGGTGTCAACACCTATACTCTAATTAACAAGGACGGGAAAGCACATTATGTGAAGTTTCACTGGAAGCCAACTTGTGGAGTTAAGTGTCTATTGGAAGAAGAATGCATTAAGGTTGGAGGAGCCAATCACAGCCATGCCACCCAGGATCTCTACAATTCAATTGCAGCTGGCAACTATCCGGAGTGGAAACTTTTTATTCAGATAATGGATCCTGATCATGAGGATAGATTCGACTTTGATCCGCTTGACGTAACCAAGACCTGGCCTGAGGACATCTTGCCCCTACAGCCAGTAGGCCATTTGGTTTTGAATAAGAACATTGATAACTTCTTTGCAGAGAATGAGCAGCTTGCATTTTGCCCTGCTATTATTGTCCCTGGAGTTTACTATTCGGATGATAAACTGCTCCAGACACGTATATTTTCGTATGCCGATACTCAGAGACACCGTCTTGGTCCAAACTATCTTCAGCTCCCAGTTAATGCTCCCAAGTGCGCTCATCACAACAATCACCATGACGGTTTCATGAACTTCATGCACAGGGATGAAGAGGTACTTTGCATCTCTGTACGGCTAAGCATCGGAGATTTACCATCTTTAATGCATCATCTCGATTCTTAATTAACAGAAATTGTTGAGTGGAATTGTAATGAAATTTAATATCTTAGATCCATTAGGTTTTAACACCGAGTTCTTGCATTCTAATCAGCTATCTTTTGACTAGCAGAATGACATGAAATTTATAGCTCGATGCACATGCAGGGCTATCTAAACATGTTTATTTATCACTTAGTTGCTCGTTTATTGTCGGCATGTTTCAATTAAATGTTCTAAACCCTTTTCCAGGTCAATTATTTCCCATCAAGGTTTGATCCTTGTCGTCATGCTGAGAGGCATCCCATTCCCCCTCCTGTGTTGTCAGGGAAGCGTGACAGGGTATGTAAATATTATCTTCCACTTTACTCTGTAGTGTGCTGTTTCACTTTTCAAGGTGAACTCGTAAGTTTGTTAAAATTTATTTTTTGGAAAAAAAAAAAAAGGTGTCTGCAACTGAATTGAGTTCATGAAGGAGAACTTTCAAAACATCTATCAAACCATGTTTGTAGCTCATTTCATTTAGAGAAGACTCGAGTGAAACAAATAATTAACTTTATTTCTTATTTTCGGCTGTTGCTGCTACAGAAAGTGTTTCAGTGTTTGACATGGTCTTGACCTCAAAAAATAAAAAATAAAATGAAAAAGGAATAAAGTCGTGAATCTTTTTGAATTAGGGTGGTAAACAGAGAGGTGATACTGATTTTCTGTTATCGAAGAGTCTGTTAAACTTCTGTCAAAGGCATTTTGGCAGTGTTACTTTTAGATTGTGATCTATGCTTTGTTACAGTAATGTGTGGATTTGGTCTAGTTAAATCATTAGTAACAAGGGCAAAGTTCCATTAGTTTGCTAAGTTGGGCATCATGAGATTTCAGAGTTGAGATCCAAAGCTATAAATTTAGCGGTACATGGACTTACTCTTCTGATAAATAAATCAGAGTGATTGCATGGAGGACTCTCATTGTTAAGACCTTGCTGAAAACAGTAAAAACCCATGTACTCACAGTATTTTGTTGATTATTGCAGTGCATCATTGAGAAAGAGAACAACTTCAAGCAACCAGGAGAGAGATATCGTTCATGGGATTCAGACAGGTACAGTAGTCCTTAATTTCTCCGGAACTAATATAATGCTTTTCAACTGCTCTATTTTAATTTCTTGTTGCTGTTTGATCTTGACTCTTCTTTAGACAAGAGAGATTTCTCTGCCGATGGATTGAGGCTTTATCTGATCCCCGTGTCACCCATGAGATCCGCAGTATTTGGATATCATACTGGTCTCAGGTTTGATGCCCATAACTTTCACGTCTGTTACATGTTTATAAGGATTTTGAATGTTAATGTTGTAAAATTGAACTTGCTGAGTTCGACTTTTATGCTGCAGGCTGACAAGTCTCTTGGTCAGAAGCTCGCCTCTCGTCTCAACGTTAAGCCGACAATGTGAAAGTGATGAGAATATAATAATGTTTTATTAGGAATATAAATCGATGGTAGTTTTTTGATTCTGTGTTCAAGAGTGTAAGAAACTTCCATCATGCGACATTTCTCTATGGTCTTAATAGATGACTGTTTGTGTCTAATTCAATAAAGTCTTTAGCTTGAATACTTCGTAGTGAGGCCCTGCAGTTTTATTTGGAACCAGCGACGGAACTAGGGGTAGCTCCTCTAAACTCGTACTCTCCCCTAAACATAATTTTCTGGCTCCGTCCCTACTTGAAAGAGAATTTTATTTTTAGCAGGTAATAATATGGTAGGGAACTTCCACCATGTAAAGGTGATTTGAAATATATTGTGAATTTAATCTATAGTTACAATAATATTTTCGCCATCAGAGTAGTGGATGAGAGAAGGAAAGGGTAAGACAAGTAGTGTCGCAAACTTGGAAGCGCCGCCCACTATGGTGGAGGAGAAGGGTGGGCGATTGCTGTTGGGATTACTTGCCAACCGTGGCATTATTTAACTCTTTATTGGATAAAATCATTTTTGACTTTTGTACATATAAAATCTTTTAAAAATTAGTAATTAAAGTCAAATATTTTTTTTTAAATTTAAAAAATTAATAAACTAAAGTCAAATAAAAGAACTTTAAAAATAAAAAATTAATAGAGAATGTGTAGAGAATGTGAAAGTGGAAGGAAAAAACTCAGATATTTAGAAATTGGGAAAAAAACACCTAAGTACGAAGCGAGGCATTTTGTTCAAGTTTTAAGCCTAGGTGACGCTTAGAAGAGCTTTTTAGAACATTGGGAAAAGGAATGTAGTCCATCCATCTTTCCTCTAGTTGCATGCCCTTGAAATATTTGGACCATGGTTGCAATAAATGAAAGGTTAAAATAAAGTCTGTAAATATTTGAAAGGTTTGGGACCGTGGATGCAATTATTCCAATAACAATGATGAGAAATGTACATGCAGATTTTGTCAGTTTCGGGAAAGTGACATCAATATGCCAAAAAGGGGAAGAGTGCTAACAAAATCTTCCAACAGTCTCATCATCATTATTATTTTTGTCTTATACTGTCTTGTATTTTTCAAGTAATACAAGTCATATTCGGATAATTTCAATTTTCATCCTTTTTTTTTTTGCATATTAAGGATTCTGTGTTGGATAAACGAGATTATACAAATGTAATTGGGACAAAATTATTTATTTCAATTTATAGATCTTATACAACACCAATCGGTAAGACGGATTATAATCCCCTATACAATTCTCGTAGATGACGACTTTGAATGTTTAAACGTGCTTGCCAATTAAATATTCATTTTGTTAGGGATCTAAGAGCAACATGTATGGATTCACATGTTCAAGCTTGAATCTTTATGCCATCATACTTGTGTTGGCTTTTTCTTTTTTAGCGTTTTTCATATGATAATTAGGAGGGTTGATAAAAGTTGGTGAATTTTATGAAATGTATCGTAAAAGATAGATAAAAGTAATGAGTTCAATGAAATATGTTAATAAAAATGAGATTTGATCAACTTTTGTAGTAAAAAAAAATCTTTATAAAGCAAACAGATAACTACATTTATTTGAAGAATTAATTATATAGTTAAGTATGAACGAAATTTTAGATTTAGTTATATGGTGATATTTAAAAAAAAAAAAACAAGAACTTTGATGATCTTCACTCTATTTAAAGTAAAAATTCACTTTTTGTTTGAACCCTAATTTTTCGGTATGATAGATTTTGTTAGTGATTTTTTGGAGAACGTGTAATTAAAAAGTAGAAAAAAAATTATTTAAGAGAGATTTTATGATTCAAAATGAGCTTAAAACATTTGTCTAACCTACCCTGCTATTGGAGTATTTGTCAACTTTTTTTCACAATCCTTCCTCTCCCAACATTAAACTTTACTAAGCAAAAAGTTGGGCAAGTACGAATAACTTTTGTATTTGAAATTGCTATTTATCACAAAAAGTATTTTGGTGTACTTATTACATATTGTTCTATGATCCTGTTAAGCGTGATAAAATTAAATACATCTTTGATCTCCATTTTTTAACATTTGTTTTTTTATATTTATTTTTAATTACATTTCGTAAGATCCGCAAATTTTATTAATTTTTTTAACCATATATTTCATTAACTTTTATCAAAATCTATTAAAAATTCGATTTTTGTCCAAATATTATTTCTTGAAGAGGAAATTGCACTAGATGTCAAATTTTGGCTTTGCATTACAAAAATGTCATTTTTTTTAACTCTTTCCAAGATTGTCAATTTAGGACATTTTTGCCCCTCTGCATAATTGAAATACCTTACATGTCTAACATTAATTCAGATTTGACAATATTTAAAATATGTACAAAATGTTAGAATTATTGTTAGGAAGAAGATGAAAATGACGAAATAACTCCCCACTCACTCCACTCACAACTCCTTTCACTCCCGCCTCCCTTCTTCGATCTCCTCCCCTCTAAAAAATTCAACTCTCCAAATCCAATCCAACCATTCTTTACACTGTGCCGACGCCGTTCGAGATCCAGTAAGATTCTTGAGCCTTTGTTGGAGGGATTCCTTATTTCTGCCGCAAAATTTCCCCACGGTCGCCGCCTCAGTCACTCCTCTATAGCGATTCCACTCTGGTGGCACGTCGATTCCACATACAGCGGTACAGATTCTGACTCTTCTGCCACAGTCTTATGTCATCACAACAAAATTTAGTATTAAATATCACTCCTCTATAGAGTTTTGGTTGTACATTTGTGCATTAGATGAACTTATTTCTTTAAAGTTTATAAATGCTTGAAAGAAAGTCGTAAGTATTCTATATTCATCTAGTGGTTTCCATGAAGGTCTCTTAATCCACATGTTAATTAATTGATATTATATATCACGTCAAAATTATGCTAATTCTTTAATTCTCCTATAAAAAATTATACTATGCAAGATGAGCATTATAACTTGATTGTGAATCTGATTGCCTTTAGAAGAGTAATCGGTGGTGGTTAGTGGCCTAACCTCCTTAATAGCTTCTGCCTGATGAATGGACTCCCAATGCTCACAGTCCTGCTGCAAATAACTGTGAGTACATAGTTACTGGATTAAACTTTTGAAAACTTTAATTAATAAGAAATTACTGGATTGAAAACGAAGCAGGATAAGAATTAACGAAGGTTTGATATGTCATGATTTAGGAGAATTAGGAATAAGAAAGAGACAATTGGAGTAGAATTCTTTAGATTGATTTTCCTTTTTCTGCATTTGTTTGTGTATTTAAGTGTATGTTTATGTCTTTAAAGTGGGTTTTAAGGCACGATATAAGTTCATCCGGAGGCTATTTGCAGCCAATATCAAGTGATATTTCATGTGAACACAAACTGTTTTAAACTTTTACTCTATAATTGACATTTGAAGTTTGTTACATAATCAGAGGATGATGTTTTAATTTGATTGTGTTTGCTATCAAGAAAATCATATGCCCATCCTAAAAATCCAATTCTTATTATTTTCCTACGTTAACAGTAAGTTGTCTTCATATAAAATACTATATTGGTTAATTCATAAATTCTGGTAGGTACACCTTGTTTATTACTGTTCCATTATACTAGACATTGAAGGCTCTATAAACTTGTGAACGGGAAATGAATTGTGATAGATAGAATTCCTTACAGTGATTTACTTGTAGAATGTGTATGACTTGGCTAGTCTTCAATATTTTGGGCTCATAGATCTCAAATCTTCTGGCACAGATTGTGGATGAAATACCTTAATACTTATTATCTATGTTTTCCCCTATGTATAAGTAATGTTTCTAAGAAACTGACTTTGTTCACCATTATATGCAAACTAAAACAGCTAACATAAAGACTGGTACAATTCTAAATGGAAAGTCAATTGCGAACAGTATTAAATCTAGAATAGCAAGTGAAATTTGTGCAATCAATAAGCAATTAAGAAAACTAATAGAAGACCTAGGAATCACCTGAACGACATCATGAATTATTTTTGTTGTTATTGTCTAGCCGGCATCATGAATTATTTTTGTTGACTTGTCGGCACTTTGATTATTGTTATTGCCTTGCAGGCATCATGAATTATTTGTGTTGTCTTGTCGGCACTTTGATTGTTGTTATTGCTTTGTCTGTATCATGAATTATTTTTGTTGCATTGCTTGCTTACTAAATTATATACATAAATGTCAAAATTACATTATTGACAGTTCACTTCAGTACAGGAATAGTTATAGCAGCGAACTGTCGGGAACGACAGTTCATCTCAGTAATTCTCGACAGATCGAAAAATATCAACAAATGAACTGTCGAGACCGGCAGCTGAGCTCAGTTTTTCTCAACAATTGACAGTTGCACATGTGGAAAGTTGATTTTGTACGAGCAAAATATATGCATTTTCCATTAACATGTTCTATTTATTGTACACCATAATTCTGTCATTTGTTTTTATGCATTTATAATATATTGTTTCTGTGTTATGAATTCCGTACTATTGATGATGTTCGTTTTATTTCTTTAAATGATGGGGAAGTACTTTGTTGTTGGATCTTGGCATCAACATGTACCACATATCACGATCTGACATTTTTTATACACTGCAGGGAGTATGGATTTTAACTATCTGGTTTCGGAAGACGCAAGGTTGTCTGCACGGATTTCCCAATGTAGCAACCTAAAGTACATGTCGAAGGTGTTGGGATAGATGTCGAGACACTTTCGTTCCTCGATGACCTCAACATATTTTTTGCATACCCTTGGGGTAGAGTAGGATACTATCGTCCCATTAAGGGATTTCGAGGTAGTTGGACTAAGAAATTTTGGGATGCAAAGAGGAGGTAAGAGAAGGAAATCAGTTACACAGTTCACGGCTATCCTATAGCCATGCAGGTACAAACGATAGCCTCACGCATTTTTTAAAGCATCATTTCAATAGCTATATTGTATTTTTCAATAACAATTACTCAAAGAAGATGAAATGGACAAAATA